GGCTGTACTTGTTCTTTTACTCTCCTCAGGAGACTGTTGGGGGGGCTGTACTTGTACTTTTACTCTCCATCAGATACTGTTGGGGGCTGTAGTTGTAGTTCTACTCTCCATCAGATACTGTTGGGGGCTGTACTTGTACTTTTACTCTCCATCAGATACTGTTGGGGGCTGTACTTGTAGTTTTACTCTCCATCAGATACTGCTGGGGGCTGTACTTGTAGTTTGAATAATATGAACGAATTTCTATGCACAGAGTAGAGATAAAAAAAACATGGAAAAACAATACAATATTTTGAATAAAGAAGAATTATTTCAATCAACAAAAACTTATTATTATTACTTCAATGGGAAGTATGAGCCTGGCTTTCGGTTTTTTCCAGATGATCAATGTCGAGTTCCCTACTTGTCACATCTGTTCACGTCCCGTGAGACGGGTCGTTTTAAGAACCCCTGGCGAGATGAATCTGGCCCGTGGGCCATAGTTTGAGGACCTTTGATTGTTTGGAATATGGGTGGCATGATCTGGTGGAAAAAGAAATAGGCTTCCTTAGTATTAGGTTGCCGTGAAATTTCATGTAAATAGTTTAAACTACTGTTGGTCTTTCTAGATTTCTAGAAGAGACGCACTGGAAAAGTTTTAATGCTTTAAAAAAAATTAATTAAATGTATTACTTGATGATGATGATGATAGAGTTCTTTTATAGCGCTTGTGTCCATGCTATTTTAGCATGCTCACAGCACTCTGATGTCCTAAAATCTATTTAGAGAAAAAAAAAAGTCTTTAAATGTTTCTTAAATGACTTTATATCATTTTTCAATTTCCCTTAAAGATTGAGCCAAACTGTTCCTCGATTTAGGCGCAATAGCTTCAAAAGAGCGCATTCCGTATGACTTTTTTTTCTGTCCATCCACACTGGGAACTATCAGTAAGGACTGTGTGGAAATCAGTTTTTAAAGATATACAGGGCCAGAGCCTTCTAATACAACTATACAACAGGGAAATAATTTTGTGGTCAATGCGCTCACCCACAGGAAGCCAGTGGAGATATTTTAGAACTGGGATGATGTGGTCAGATCTCTTTATACGAGATACAATGCGTGCTGCAGTATTGTGTACCTTCTGGAGTCTCTGAATTCGGTTTTGAGGTAAACCCCACAAATAACTGTGCCTCTAAGTGCAAATACTTCTGGTCATACTATAGATCTCATGGAAACCTTTATCCAATGCAGTGTGTCAAGTCCATGGAAACCTTTATCCAATGCAGTGTGTCAAGTCCATGGTAGCATTTATTCAAGGCAGGATGTCAAGTCCATCAGCCCGAGACCATCAAAATAAAGAACAAAACTTACCTGTTTTAAAAGGAGTTTAACCGTTCATGTTAATCTTGTACAACACTGCTACTCCGCCCCACTAATGCCATGCTTACACATTTACTGCAACGACATGTTACTGCAATGACATATTACTGCAATGACATATTACTGCAATGACATATTTCTGCAATTACATCGTACTGCATTTTAACTACCTTTGGACACAAACAATTCAAAGTCTCACTGGCAAATTTTTGTCATTGGTTCGAGATCTGTATATTCCCACCCTGTAAGCCCCCACCCGAACCCACCCCACCTGAATGCCTTAAATTTATTACGCTTTGCTTGATTTTCTGAGCGCAGTTATTTCCTCTATTCAATTGCCTCCATCAATTGCCTCCATCAATTGCCTTCATCCATTGCCTCCATCAATTGCCTCCATCAATTGCCTCCATCTATTGCCTCTATCCATTGTCTCTATCCATTGTCGCCATCCATTGCCACCATCCATTGCCTCCATCCATTGCCTCCATCAATTGCCTCCATCAATTGCCTCCATCTATTGCCTCTATCCATTGTCTCTATCCATTGTCGCCATCCATTGCCACCATCCATTGCCTCCATCCTTTGCCTCCATCCATTGCTCCATCCATTGCCTCCATCCATTGCCACCATCTTGGCCTCCATCCATTTCTTAGGACAGTATATATGGCAAAATATAAAGAAGTAGTCTAAATCCTAGTCGAGTTCTAGCGCCCAGCGCCCTCTCTTTAAACCTTCATTTTAAAAATCCGCCTATGGTTGACTCCCTAAAACATAGTGTTCCGCGACATGGTTCAATCAGTAAAACAGAGTGGTCTACGAAGTCCATAAACATGATGGTCCACTGAATGGTTTAAGGTGGTCAAAGAGACTGCGATCTGAGCAACAAATAGTTTAAGCTTTAATCACGACATATTCTTTTCCACAAAACAATTCATAGAACCAACTTCAGCTCTGTGTCTATAAAGGCATTTTTTTTTAAAACTGTGATCCATTATAACTCTGTAAATAAAGCGTATAAAAATACTTTATTTTAAAACACCTACATTCTCTTGTTGTGTTACAATATTTACAACTAGGGGTGTGTTACTTCAAAGAGCAACATCCGAATATTGCATTCAAGTCGCTATGCCGGTGTAACGGGTCAGGGTGGTCACAATCTTCAAAAGTGTGATTACAGAATCTGGTGTCAAAATATTGAGAGCCACTAATTGAGAACATGTATCTTCACATCTCGGTTTTTTTTTTTCTAGCCCTGATCAATCAGTGGCGTATCAAATGATTAGGTGCCTATTACAATCATTGAAATGGAGTCCCTGTCGCAAAGTCTGGTATTTAGATGGTGAGAAGGGTTATCTTTCTCATTTTGAACCCTTTTAAATAGCATCCGGGGTGCGGGCCCTACCCTTGCCTTACCCTAGATACGCCTCTGATCTCACTGGCTCTATGCGTCCTTCTCAGTTTCAGCACATCGCTAGGTTTGTCTTGTCCCCCTCGTCCTTGTAGGCCAATAGGTCGTTTTCATTTGGCTTACAGTTGTCACCGAGTCCTGTTGGTACTAGTCCCACTCTAGCCATCAAAACAACAGAAGGTTTTTTTATGTATTCTGATGGTGTGACTCATATATTGTGTGTTGTATGTTGTATCTAGCCTGCTCTGCTCATACCGGATATGTACATCGGCGTAGAACGTAATTGCGGAGTGGGTGGTCCGCCCTGAGTGCGCCCCTTTTTATACATTATATATAGTGGCGGCACTTTCGGCTTACTGCAGAGTTTGGTTGTTGTTTTTTGTTGAATCGGGGCGGCAAAAATTTTAACACCCTTGGGTGGCTCTACCTCAAGCCAGAGTTTCTTTCAGCTATATCTCTGGGAGGGCACTGCCCCCCCCCCGGGAAAAGCCAAGTGCCCCCCGGAGCAAAAATATGTCCAACAATACATCAACTGGCACTGCTGGCACTGCCCCCCCCAGCGGTGTAGCGAGGGTGTTTGGCGCCCGGGGACAAGATTCGCGCCCGGGGACAAGATCCATTTGAAAGTGCCCCCTTTTTCTTTTTTCAACTCTCAAACCCATTATTTTCTTCAATAAAATAATATCAAAGCACATTTTGGCGCCCCTAACTACCTGGCGCCCGGGGACATCTGTCCCCCCATCACCCCCCTCCCCCCCCCCCTCCCCTCCCTGGCTAGAGAACCCTAAAAATCTTTAAGTACCCCACCCCCCCGGGGGGGAAATTTCTGAAATAATCACTGCCTCTATCTACGCTTGGGTGATTATCTTCATGGCGTATTAAGAATTCAAAGTTAACGTGTATTTTAGGATAGATGAAAACACTTGAAACCTTCTCTCTTAAAACTGAGTCGAATCGAGATGACGAGATTGTAATTGTTTCATAGAAAATGGAGCATCCTGCTGTGTTTTATTTCAACTGCCATTGTGCGTTTCTATTGGTTTACGGCAAGAATTCGTGACTTTCCCGGGGGCACACACAGACCTACTCAGAGAAAGAGGGAGAGAAGAACACACTCGCACACACTCACTCGCATACATAAATTTAACATACACATATACATACAAAGCATGTACTGTTGTATATATTTAGTTTCCTGGTTCATAGTTTAATTCATTTTTTTAAA